TCCATCCACGAATGTTCCCTTGTTGCATAAACACATAATTTTTTGTTTTAGAACTCAATAATTTTCTAATTCACTACCCAATAATCCATCCAGCATAATTTGCAGAATCATATGTTCATGTGCCATCTATTATTATTTATAAAATTTTGGTAAGTTGTGTAATTGGTGGCACATATATAGCTCACAATTGATTATTCAGCATGAGTGAAGTGATTTACTTTTTTTTATGTTACTATATTTTTAACAGTATATTTTGAATAAAATTAATGACAAAGTAATTCCTAAAATTATATCAAATACTAGGTAAGGGTTGTAATTTCCTCTTATGAGAATAGGAGCTTTCTCGTTCCATTGTTTCATGGACTCGGACTGATAAGGGGTATGTTGTGAATAAAAGGAAAAAATAAATTGAATCGAAATGTGTATATTTACTTATACGTGAAAATTCACTTATAAATAAAAAAATTACTTATAAACGAATTTTTTATTTTTATTTTTTTTATTTGTAATACCTGAATGTTTTTATAATACAATTAGAACCAAATGTGATAACAATATTTCATAATCCACCTTAATACTATTTCCCCTCTAACGGTGTCTTTTATAATCATATTGCTCTTAGCTCGTTGACAATCATTATTCGAAAAAAAAAATTTCTACATACTTATTTTTTATTAAATATTCATACAATAAAATATTTTGTTTATAAATCAAAAACACACATTCTCCTAAAAATCACAATTCAAAAAATTGTTTTACCCAAATAAACTCCGTCAAACAGGAGCTTATTCGTATTTCCAAGTGTTATTATGGCCCACATAAAAATTTGAAAAATAAAAATAAAGGGACTCTCTCAGTTATTAACATGAAAAGCTTTTTAAATAATAAAACGAATTATTTAAAAATAATAAAGAGAGAGCCAGCCAAAGATCAGCAATGGCCATTGGTAAAAGTTGCCAGCAAAGGCTATTGAATTTACCAAATTTTAAATTTGACCATTTGTGAATAGGACCGAGCTATATAACCCGTGCACGTGACCACATGGTTGACATAATACACACACATGGGGGGTAGGGATTATTTTATTCATGGGGGACCCACGTCAGCCATGTGAAGGTGCGATCACCTGAAGTGTCAAGGCGTTGGTATTATATAAGTCACAAAAGTGAAATTATATAAGTCATTTAATTCCATTTATTATTGTTTAATGTCACGATAGCGCAACCAAAATGGGATTGCAACCCCGGTATTGCTAAATAGCGCTACACTATAGTTTTAGTTTTTACTCACTTTTTCACTGCTAGAAGCAGCTGTCATTTTTAATTATCAATCACATTGATTTAATTTCTATTTTTCATTCCATATAGGAAAAAAGAAAAAAAGAAATAATAATAATAATAATAATAATAATAATAATAATAATAATAATAATAATTGTTAATTTTTTCACAGCAAAACCAATATTGTTGGACGGTGTATCAGAAAAACTCTGCGTATTTTTAAATTTTTATTTTTTGTTTATTATTACATCAGAAAGAAGAGATAAATCATATCATTAAAAATTAACGACGGTGGCGGATGAATGTATTCATTATAAATATTAAAAAGAAATTCTCAACAGATAAATAGATGGAATTTGTTACCAGTATTCCATCTACGAATCGAACGCTTAAGGATTGAACGAGTGCATAACCAGCAAGATCAACTGCACTAAGGTGTCCAATAAATGATTGAGTAACAACTACTGTTCCAAATGAAGCCACTCTTGAAATAATGCCAGGCAATGCAATTTTCCATATTTTCTTTGATTCTTCAGAAATGCTTCCTTTGAACTCACTCAACTGTTCTTTTTCTGAACTAATCAGCTTCTCTTTTAAGTCATTGTCCATGGCCAATGCCATGGCTATGGAAAATCAACTCACTGGTATCAGTATCATCAAATAAAATGAGCAGCATGTTACTATTATTGTTATTAAATTTACTAAAATGTATTATTCAGCATGAATGATGATCAATGAAACAAAAAACGTACATCTGCAAAGGCTGAAACACACAAATACAGAGGGAAGAACGGAAGACTTAAAAGGCTGTTGGGAGAGAGAGAGAGAGAGAGAGAGAGAGAGAGACTAAGCACTTCCTTTCATGCTATTGGAATTTGGACACATTCAAGTATCAGGTCTCCTATATATAGAATAGAATAATGCCACCGAGTCCCATTCAATTTTTATTTACATATACATCCAAGACAATTAAAACTAGTGTAAGTCAGCCCTCACTAAATGAAGTTCGTCTATTTTCCATGTTAAAGTGGAAAGACTCCCGCTTTAAAAAGTATCACATTTTTTTTTTTTTTTAATGAGTGGGAACCCGCAGTCGCTACCTTCGGATGCGCACTCGGTAAACCTTTGCACTGACACAATAGTTTGCAAACCACATTTGCAAAGCATGCAACCCACCAATGATAAAATTAACAGATCCATCTCATGGGGACATATGTCCCCAAACTTCACAATATTAGGCACATAGGTCCTCACTAGATGGAACTGTTAATTATATATATGTCAAAGAAGTTTCTCTATTAACCAAACTGGCAAAATCATCACTATTCACGTGACATGTTTTAATTTTTCCTGGTTTATGCAGTGAAATGCTAATAAATAAGGAGTAATACTCGAATCACTATTGTTCAATACCAGCTCTATTGATATTAAATTACAAATTTAATTAAATACGAAGAATTATGGTCAATTTAATAGAATTTATGATATACTGATACGTGAATTAGTGTTCAAAATCATTGGTGGTGATAAATAGAATTATTCATAAAGGATGTAGCAATTGCTGAATACCATTTATATGTATGAATATGCGATATACTGCTAGGGATACTAGACCATCAATTTAGGTAGGTTCAATTAATTAATCATGTTATATTGTATTTATAATAATAATAATGATATTTGCATTGTTGGTGTTGAACATTAGTCTAGGTATCAGCATATCATAAATCCTATTAAATAGATCATAATTTCTTGTATTTAATTGAACCTGTAATTTAATGACGCTAGTGTCACCACCTAAACTAGTATTAAACACTAGTTGTGCTAAATATTACTCTTCTATTTAAGTAAATGTATTATTTAATTTCATGCAACTACCATTATTTAGACTTTGCTTGACACCAACGATGTCGAATAGCATTATTTTTATTTGTTTAGTTTAACCATTTCATTTTATATGCACTTACAATAAATTTCATATGGAAATTCCGGCAGCTAAAAGCTATTTTAGTACACAAAGTACTCTGAAAAATCAAATAGGTCAATTAGCCAACCAGCTTATAGGAAGATTGCAAGATACCTTACACAATAATTTTGAGATAAATCCAAATGAATAGGTTAAAGACATCTCCACTCGAAATGAATTTAAATTTTCTGAAATTATTATGAAGAGGTAGATTTCTACGAAAGAAATGAAGTCTATAGTACAAGTAAACAACCTGAAAAAAGAAAAAAAAAAAAATGAAAATGACAAGTCAAGCACTCTACCAACTAAAAATCCAGCACTGATCAAGGTTTAAGTTGCTCTAGTACCATTACCACTTAGGCTTTCTAAACGAAAGATAGATAAAAAAATTTGAGTTAATTCATGGATGTACTCAAGAAACTTCACATCCACATTTCATTTGTCGATACCTGCTCAAAAGCCTAACTACACCAAATTGATGATTCACATTTTGACAAAACATTATATGAAAGAGTATGTATTAACTTCGTGTCTTTATCTATTTTTAAGGAAAATAAATCGACGACAGTGTCTATGCAATTGGACGATCGATCCATTAGATATCCACATGGAATTATTGAAAATATTTCGGTGAAAATTGACTTTATCATTCTAGATATAGAATAAGATATGGATGTGCCACTTATTTTGATGAAATCGGATAAATTTATCTACCATGTTCAACCGTTCCTCATCACTGGAAGAACAATGATAAATGTTCAGAAAGGTTAGTTGATGTTAATGTTGAATGAAAAGTAGATGACCTTCAATATATTTATGGTAATATAATATCCGTTTACTTTGGATTCTTGTTTTCAAATTGATGTGATTGACAGGAAGCATCTCGTACCTTCACATTAGTGCATCCTTTAGATCCTCAGAAGGCATGCCTTGTGCACTCTCAATTTATCTGACTCTTCAGAGAGTGAGAATTGTGTAAGATATTTGAAGAGCTATGATCCATTTTGGAAGAAAAATCAATTCAAAGATTTAGGTAAAGGTCCTACCAAATAGTGCTGAATAATGAAATCGTGAAATCATAAAATTGAACCAAAATCACTTTTTGGAAATGTTGGTTTGGATCTACGTGGACACGTCAATGTTTTGTTTTGAAATGAACAAAAGCACTTCGAAGTTGTTGGGTTAAAGTTTAATCTTTACAAATCATATCAAACCATTTACACCCCCCCCCCCCCCCCGAAAAAAAGAAATAATAATTAATTTGAATTTTATCCAACCTAATTAAATCCCAACACATCTCATTTAAAAGATACATAGTGATGTACATGGACCCGTGTCAATTAATGTCGGATGAAGTTTCTCTTATTTCATCAATAATTATATGTATTTGATGAAATTCAACTATGAAACTTCTGAAAGGTTCAAGGGATTCAAGTCAGAAGTAGAGAAATAAATAGATATTTGATGAAATTCAACTATGAAACTTCTGAAAGGTTCAAGGGATTCAAGTCAGAAGTAGAGAAATAAATAGGTAAAGATATCCTCATACTAAGATCCGATTGAGATGGTAATATCTTAAAGATGAAATTCTAGATTATCTAAGAGAGAATGAGATTCTTTTACAGTGGACTCCTCCACATACACTACAACATAGTGTTGTATCTGAAATGAGGAATCGTAAACTATTACATATAATGCGATTAATAACAAACCATGCAAACCTTCCAAAATCGTTTAGGAATCATGCACTGAATCATGTCCTGTTTAAGTTTGTTAACAAAACTCCATACGAGTTATGGAAATGCAACAGTTCCAATTTAACCCATGTGAAAGCTTGGGGTTGTGGCTTGAAGCGCACTAAATTGGATAAACTTGAGATTCAATCCGGTAAATATATATTTGTGGGATATTTAAAATAGATATTTGGATATCAATTCTATTAAACTATTGAGAAGAAGTCTTCGTCTCACGAAATATCATTTTCTAATAGAAAATATTTACTCTAGAAGAGGACAGTAGGAACAAAAATAGAACTTAAAAGAATTCAAGAGTCCACAAATATATTTAACCAAGTAGATGAATTTGGTTTGATCTCACACTTGATGGGGGACATACTCTTGATTAGGAAATAGAGACTCTTGAGGGCAGACAACTCCATTTATATCTAGTAGGATTATTCGACTTTCAAGTTATGATTCCACAATTACTAATCAAGTATTATTAATTGAGGATGATGAACCTACTAATTACGCAGAAGCAGATCCAAGTGTTGACTTAAACAAAAATGAACTCGATGTATGAAATAAGATTTAGACCTTGGTCGACCCTCTTGATGGGATAAAACCCATAGATTGTAAATGGGTTTACAATAAAGGGTCGACATGGAAGGAAATATCCATACATACAAAGTAAGGCTAGTAGCAAAAAGTTACAAACAAAGACAAAGTGTTGATTTTGATGAAACCTTTCGTCTGTAGCCATGCTGAAGTACATTCATATTTTGGTTGCAACAGTTATATACTTTGACTATGGGTAAAAGCACGCCTCTTGGAGCTGAAATCTTCGATTTAATGAAAAAATTAGAAGGTTTGATTTTATCAAATATGAAGACAAATTGTGTGTTTATAAGAAGATGGTGAGAGTATTGTCGCATTCGTAATATTATATGTAAGACATATTATTAATAGGAAACGACATCACTACGTTTCAATCGTTGAAATAATAGTTGTTAAATGATTTCTCCACGAACAATATGTGAGAAGCAACTTGATCTATAGAAATAGATCTAAAAAATTGCTTTACTCACCCCAATCTACACAGATAGAATCTTAAGAAGATTTTGTATAGAGAAATTGATTTACTCCTAAGTGGTTTGTTGGAAAGGTTTCAAACCTGAAACAACTATTAATTCAATAGCAGAAACCTAATACATGATTGTTTCAGAACTAACAAAGAATTGTGGTGCGGATTAAGATGTTCATTAATGAACTTAGAGTAGTTCCTAATATTGTTGATCACACGCCATTGTATTGTGATAACAATGGAGCCATCGTACAAACAAAGGAACTAAGGTCTCATCAATGATCCAAACATATACTAAGGCAGTATCCATCACATTAGAGAGATTATTCTCATGATTAATAATATTGCAGATCCACTGATAAAGAGTTGTCGCAATATAAACATGATCATCATGTAGACTCTTATGATATTAGATACACAAGTTATTGGATCTAGAGCAAGTAAGAGTTTGTAATTGTTATGCTCTAGGTTTAACCAATTTTGGACATAAACACTTCAAATATATAGTTGATGCAATTTATGACAGATCTATTATTTAACTAATATTCAATTAAACTAAATAATAAAGTCTATAGATTCAAATATTGGTAATTTGTTAATCACAAAGAGTTGTAATTGTGATATACAAATTACTTATGATTGAATCTTAAATTATCCATGGTCACAAGTAATAAAAAGATACATATATCTTTATTATGGATAGACCATCACGTGTGGCATTTCTTACTTGTAAAGTAAGTAGCTGATCTCACAAGCTAAAGTGTAGTGATACTTAAATAAATACGTGAATGTTTTGTTATAAAACAAAATATTGGAGACCTGCTGGGAGATTTCATATGGATAACTATCTAGGTGTCAGTGGTTAATCTCTAACGTTCGAGATGAATTAGTTTTTTGACTTGAGGTCATCATAGTGCCTTATATGATGGCATTATTGTTGGAAAAAAATGGTTTAATGGGTCAACTTTGAGCCCAAATTTCAGTGGGACCCACCTTTTAAATAATACGGGACCTAGCATATTCACGTTCTACTCTGCGAGATGATTAACGTGATATATTTATTTATCGAAAACCATTTAAAATTGAATGAAATATTAAGTGTTAAAGTAATCCACATAAACTAAGGATTATGGAAGAATTTGATTTACCAAACACTTATCCCACATAGGAAAGTTAGGAAACTTTGGTGTGGTTTATAAGGTGGAAGTTTGGAATTGGGTTTGGGCCCCAAGGGGTACCAATAGTCTTTGGAAGAGGGAAGACCTATATTCTATTGGGTTCGGTCATAAACCCACGCGCGCGCGCCGCCGCCATCCGTCCGACCGTGCCCGAGCCCGGTTCGGTGCGGGTGCGGGTGCGGGTCCGGGTCGACCTTTACACTATATTAACTTTTTGGACAAAATTTATTTAAAATTTTGGACCAAATTGTAAATAATCAAATTCTTGGGTACAAAATGAAATTTAAATTTTGGCTTATTCCGGGTGTTTTATTTTCTTGTAACAGTCGACTGTTTCGACTGTTTACCGACCAAACAGTCGACTGTTTACCGACCAAACAGCCGACTGTTAACCGACTTAATAGACACGACTTTTAAGAACAGTATGTCTGTTCGGATTTTTGAGGCTTGTCTGAAAGGTGATGACTGTTCGAATGGCCACGAACAAGTCTATAAATAGCCAGCCTTT